TCACTGCGAAAGCACATGGATCAATTTTTGGGTCAAAGGGTTATTTGTAAAAAAATTTGAGGTCAAATCGTTATCGAAAACCCCTTCTGACAACCTCGTGCCGGTCCCTGACTGAAACTTGAGGAGACGAAAAAGCAAACATTGGATGCGATGTAGTAGAGACAAGTTTACTACTATTAGTACTAGTACATAGCATAATGTCACAGTAACAAGCGGGTCATCACTGAGCTTCAGAACGTTATAGTCCCAGTGACAATTTGCTTGTTGATGTAAAAGCTGGAAATTTTTTAGAGAAGTTGCATACTATTTAGGATTCTCCGTATCCTGGATGCCCGAATTCTCAGAAGGCGCCATGCTTTTTGTAAAGCACTTCAACGGCATATACGCATTAGCAAATATTCGCGGTGGAGGGTGAGTAAAATGTAACATAATCACACAGTCTTGCACACAAAACTATGAAGTTGTCTATCAGCATATGCGAAGTCAACTCTGAATTAGAGTAATTGAGTATTTGTTCTACCAGTTGACGTTGTCCCTTTATCTGAAATTTCGTATTGTTCTCAGTTGTTGAAAAGACTGCTCTTGTTGTTTAACTGATGTCGGTTTCGGTGATTCCTGAAGTTTCATACGCAGATCTCAAAAGCTATCACATCTTAGAGAGTACGGCGAAAGATGGCATGAAGCTGGAATGCGTGAACGCAAGCAAACTGTATTTGATGACTTCATCGCCGCTGCGGAATATTTCATTGAAAACAACTACACTACGAACAAAAAGTAAGTCATTTGCTGTTGTAACAGAAGGTGATCTATCGGCCACGCTGCTTGAAATCTAAGTAATTCAGTCCTTTTAGCATGTGTTTATATACAGTTTGTAAGCGCACTTTGCGCTTACAGAGGAATTTAGGCTATTGGGCGTTAACTTATTAGCATCCACTACGCTTAGCGTTTATGTTCGCAAAGATTAATACAAATTTCTTAAATCTTTTTAACGGTTTACGCCGGTCATAACAAGAATGCTAAGTAAAAAAATCAATGAGGAAATAGCCTACTAACATCCGCCTCGCTCTAAAGCTTACGTGTGTTAAGTCCGATCTGATTCCCTCAGTTCTTTCCATCATTTTAGGCCGATCACAAAAAAATCTGATTTGATTATTATGTAAGTATTGATCATTTCAGATTGGCTATTAGAGGAGGATCAAATGGAGGTTTATTGGTGGCAGTATGTGCACAACAACGACCTGATCTATATGGAGCAGTAGTAGGTGAAGTGGGGTACGTGTGGTCGAATTGCTATGCATATGTTAAGGTGTCATTGCAATTGTACTCATTATTTTTAAGGTACCGGTAAGTTATAAACACTAACAAATCAAGCTTCTCTTAATGTCAATTCTTAGAGTATGACGAATGAGGTAAGGAAGTGGGGTTTTACGGTTATGGTAATCACCTTCGTTGGTTACATCTGTGCCAGAGACTCGACCTCAATCAAAAAGAAACCGAAATCTTCAAAAGCTTACAAGGGAATGGTCAAAAATCGAAGTGGCCAATCCGCACAAACTACGTACTGTCAACACCCTCAGGGACGCTAGTCACATATCTACCTCTATCTACAGGACGGTCTTGTATGCAAGGTTATGGGCCCTGGTTGCACCAGGTTCGCCAAGCACACTAGAACCCGTACCTCACCTGCCACCACCACCGGTGGCATAGCGCAGTGGCTGGTGCGTGAACTGTTAGATGAAGGAAAGAGGTTGATTACTTTTGCTTGCTTTTTTTTTGCAATTGATTTCTAACATCTCATTGTTAGTATGAAGTAACATCAAGGTCAGAAAAACCTGTGAAGAGAAAAGACAGCAAAAGCTTCGAACCTCTGACCATCATCGTATCAGTTCACGCACTTGCCATAGGAAGAGCCAGACCCTTTTCCAGGTGAAGGAGTTCTTGGCTGCCCAGATCCTTGAAGGGTGAAGTGCAATTTTGATTCCAGGAAGCAAACTGCTTCAACAGCTACATACCATTCGAGAGCTGAGGTCACAATCCACATGGACCGTTGATTTTCTCCAGGTTTTTTAGGACATAGATACGAAAGAAACTGTCTGACCGATATATCAACTGACTTAGTATGCTCACGTTCTGCTCACCTATCGCAACAAATATGAAAGCTGCGAGAAACTCAACGGTCTACGTTTGTTAACGAAGACTTGTTCTGTAAAATACATGGGTAATCAACAGTACTAGTTTTTTGTTGGGCAGACATCTGCTGTTAAAAATGGACATAATTACGTATAAATTGCAGCGTATATTTCGGTAGAGGTGGCTAGAAAGAAGTTGACGATCTAACTCAATTCCTCTTTCCCTAAGATTTCGAATAATATATGGATTGCAGGGCAAAAACAGCCAGTTTTCAAAAATAGGTTGGAAATGTCTACTTTTAAGCTGTCCCTTTGATCGTTGATTTTTTTACCGTTTCTACCCTAAACATCAACATTTCTCAAAAAAATGAGCACCTACAAAAGGTGCAGATATATGATCGTACTTCTGTAGGTATCAGCTATATGATCATATGCGTTGGAGAAGCTCAGGACGTCTGGAAGCGGAGTTTGCCCTTTTACTCAATTCATTTTACTTTCAATTCTAACCATGGAAGTATTACTGAAGGTGTACCATTGAACGCCCCATGTTTTAAGCACATGCGAGGAATAAAGAATTTTTAGGAGTTTTTGGCACAAAGACACGATTTTTTCGTAAAACTTCGTTTTTGACAGCTATCGGATTTCAGCTCAAAACTTTATATGGAATACGATTCAGGCAGACTCTTAGTAGCCATTGTATAGCTTTCTTTGCCACGTCGAATGATTACTCAAACTACATCATTTGAAAAAAAAAGTACAGCTCTACGAAGTTGGAGGGGAAACGGTAAATATGTAAAATTATAATAATGTAAAACAAACCTAATACTAGCTTGCTCCACCCTCCCCTTAAAACGTATTGGATTTGGGTCACCGGAGCAAGTGTTGTTTTAAAGCCAACATGCTGTTTACGTTTGAAAGCGAGATCGTGGAGAATCGACTTAGACCTTCAATTTTTTAATCTCTTCTTAGCGGTAAGCTATGAAAGATTTATCAGGTCACATATCGACTGACTCACCCTATTTTTAGGTTTATAAGCCGCATTCTTTTTGCCTTAAATGCTAGCGGACCCAAGCGTGCCGCTGCGCATGTGTTTCGCAAATGAGGAGGTGCCCTATATTGCCCTCCTCAACAAAGACAGCCACCGTAATCATGCTCTTATCAGGCCAATCGCGCCGCGACTCGTGCTTTGCACTGGCGTCCGTAAAACTTTTAACTTGTCTTTTTCATGGCGTTCACAAGCCATCTTGCTAAATGATGGATTCTGAAGGAAAGGCCCATGAAAGTTGTTAAAGTTGAGAAATCGTCTTATGTCGCCCAAGAAGGTCTTATAGACATGACTCCAAGAGCGCTCTTATAACTTGCAATGAATGCTTCGTTAGATACATATGTCATGGATGTGCCATACAAACGGAAACAACCAAATGGAGGCGTTATGGGCAATTTTTTTGTTACATAGATTTACGAGAAGCACGCCGTACTAGTGACTCGTCGTAAGGGTCTTCGAAACTAACTACACCTAGGAGGTTCTGAGTATATCTATACATTGGAAACTACTAAAATATGCGGAGATGATGACTCCAAACGTCTTTCCTGGTACTTCCTGTAAAACGTACCGCGCCCTGTGTATCCATTAGTCAACTCGGTTAGAAAGTACTAGGT